TCGGTCTTCGATTACTAAAACGATTATTATAAAAAACCTTCCGTCAGATAAGGTGTTAAAAACCATAACAAACGATCTCAAACGCTGCTTCAAAGTTCGCACATTTTCGTGGAACGGCAGGTTTTCCGAAAAAAAAGAAAAAACCGAATCGGACTCGGATCACCGCTGACCCACTTCGGTCTGCAGCCAGCTATAGCGAGCATCGCCGTGGCAGTCGCAAATGTCAACGAGGCTGAAGGTAAAAAAAGCAACCGGAGGGAAGGAAAAAACCGTTGCTCAAGACGATTTTGCAAGTGTGCTGGGATACAGTTCATTCGCCGGCGCGAGGAAGCGTCAAATGTCACATATCGCGCGGCGCGATTAAATGTCGCCGGCGCGAGGACTCCGCTCGAGCAGACAGGCGGTTGGTCGCGGGGATCCGAGCTCTCGGTCGTCCTTATTTCAATCAAATTGGAGGAGGGCCGCGACCGTAGGTGGCCTGACAAGAAAAGACGAGCCGACGAAACGCAGGTTACGCAATCCGGCTCGGAGCCACGTCGAGCGTTGCAGGTTGCGCGCGGATCGCCGATTCCCCCTGCAGCCCGCGCCGGCCGATGCAACGAGGATCGATTTCTCGTTACGCAATCGCAGGTGGGGGGGAGGGGGGCACGCGAGAAAGAAAGCGCGGGTGATTCAGGAACTTTCTTACTCGATCACGGCGCGCGACGCGTGTCCTCGATCCGCGCGCTTCCGCGAACAATCTCGCGCGTTCGCGATTCCCGCATTCTTACGCAAATTTTTCGCACGATCGTTTTACGCCGCCGCCTCGGCCCCGGTAATTTCTACACACGCTGTGCGTCGAGAGAGCTGCAAAATTTAGGATAGAGAGGAGTTCAGCCGGGATGACGAAATGCATCGGAATGCGTCGTAATGCACCATTAAGGCCGATGTAAATGGTGGGACGTTTTATACAGAGGCGAACGTACAAGAGTCAGGTCTCGTACTTTCCAATTATTTTGATGATAAAACGACATTTCTATGCGATGCGATCGAGTCGATTTCTCTATTCGGTGTAATAATCATTTTTACGACATCGAGGAACGTTTTCATTGGCGTTCGCAAGAAAATGTTAACTTTGCATGATAAAGTCGAATACGTGGTGTGTCGTTTAATAAATATATAATTCGTTTCCGACACGATCATTTTAATATTTCAATTGGATATGTTTCAGATTTAAAAAGATCGCATCGCATCGTTTATCAAACGACACCGTTCTTCATTCCCTTCATCGTGTTCTTGGCAATCGATTGTTTCGTATTCTTTAAACGATACTATACGAAATAAAGAGTAAATAAAATTACAAAATATGTCGGATATTATATTTCTTGTTGCACAACGAGACAGTTAATAAATTATGGGTAAAGATCGGTTAACCATGTGAATAGAACGACGGTTAGCACCGAGGATCCCGCGTGCGCAATCGAGTGCTCGATAGCCGACCCAGTCCGGTCAAACGAACAACCGTCCGCGTGAAGAGCGTGAAGCATCCCGAAGCGTGAAGCGTTTACGCGTTTACACGGTCGAGCGTGTGCGCCGGTTCCTGTGGAATCGGCCGCGGTGCCGGGCAAATCGCTCGCCCGCGAGACGCCGCGTTCGCGGCCTTGTTCATCGCCGATCATTATATGGGAAATCTGTTGAGCCAGCGTGTCCCGGGTATTTAACAACGCTTTGTTGCCGGGTTGCGCAATGCAGATCGTAAACCTGTTAAATGTGAAACGAGGAAGACCGAGGCTCGCTCCGATGGACCGTGAGAATGCGTCGGCCCGAAAAAAAGCGGCGCGCGGCCGCTACCGACAATGACGGCGATGATTCGGGGCACAAACGGGGGCCGCGGCGAACCCGAGACGGTTTCTGGAAAAAGGGTTGAGGACCCTGCCCTCCCTTCCGACGCCCGGAACCGGTCTGTTCCCGTGGAATTCGTTAAAACGCGGCGAGAAACCGATCTTCTCTATTATTAAATCGGGAATTATGGAATGTATCGGGTCGGCCGCGGGGCGAATCAAAGGGAAAATACCTCGGCGTGCTTCGCGGAGACTGCGGCGTTTGTTAACAGCGCGAAATTCAGCGATCGGAGAGAGAAGCATTCGTCGGGGGACATTGAAATTCCGCGCGGCGATCGCGCTTATCCACCCGTCGAAGTCTCCGAGCCCGATTTAGCGTACTAATGGCGTACCACTTATTAACGCGCGCGTTTCTTTCGCGACCACGCGTTGAAAAACTATCTTCGTGCTTCGAACAAACCGCCGACAGGCTGGGAACTCTGGAGGAAAGCACGGGCAACTTCGTACTTAATTATTTTTAATGCGCGAGCCGCCGCCTCGAGTCTCCGAGCGACCGAGCCACTTTTCGCGGCCTAATGACTTATTGCCTAGCGTTTCTTCTGCGAATTCCTCCTCGGTGTGTTCGATCACCTATACCAGTACCTTCGAGACCCCATTGCGAGATGATACAATCTTTGAAAACGCGGAGTTGGCTTTCCTGCAACGTAGAATACGAGGCGCGAAACGGTACGATGAGTCGCGGTGTCGCTTGCATCGCATCTGCGATTATTTCTTATACATATTGAATCGGTATAACCCCTTGCCGTACTTTAACAAGTCTAATTCGTAACGGAGATTCCGTCCATTTAAGCCGGAATAAAATTACACAATATTTAAGTATTCGAGGAAATGCAGGCACACGACAAACACAAACTTTCTTCATCTTCTTCTAAGAAATTATTGTAATCGAAAATTTATTACAGTCGTCGCAACAATAAAGAAAATGACACAGCTAAGGGGTTGAATGTTTTGTGATTCCTACTCTAGTTCACTGACAGGAAAGCAGAAACAGACAGAGATTATCATTTAATTATTTCTGGCCTCGGGATCGACAAATGTCAGCTTCTCGAAGTTCGACTCTTGATCGCGTCGTTCGATCGCCATGGAACAAGTTTTGAATGATTTTATGGCTCGCGGGGGATAGTGTGGGACACGGTGCGTGTCAGAAATTCTTTAGATTGTTGTATAAATGATTTAATCAGCGGCGCAACGATTAAACAGCTCGAGAGGACAGGCTTTTCACTCTCGGACCGTTTATGGCGCGTTTATGCCAGTGGGGAAGCAGATCCTGCGGTCAAGTGGTGAAAAGGGCCAGAGCTTAAGGCGGATTACGTCGATTTTCTTGTATAACGCGCGGGATTACGCACCTCGCTCGACTATAGCACTCTCGAACCCTTTCGGGTCGGCTCGACACTCGAGCGGAGAATTGCCTGGCCCCGCACCGCCGCCGGGCCATAAACTTTTACTGCGTTTTCTGGTCAGTGCGGTTTTTTTTCGGTTGGTTCGAGGGAAAGGAGAAAGGGTTGTTGTTACCCTCCGGGCGAAAGGGCGGTTCGTGCTGAGTGTTGTTAAAGACACACGACGAAAGGGTTGGCCCTTTAGAAGAACGGCCGCGTAAAGCCGGTAAATAGCAGATTACCGTCACCCTTTTGTTATAATGGGGACACGCCGAGCTATTCAAGCGTCTCCGTTTCCTCGAGGATCCCCCGACTTTATTGGCCCTGACGAACAGAAGTCTGTTGGGTCATGGTGAAATTTGAATCGATTCTTGCGCAGTGGGTGTCTTTCTCTTCTTAAATTTACAACCGTTGGGAAATTTACTGCTTTCCCGATTGTCGACGTTCGAATGGAGCTGGCGATTGATAATATTGCTGGTAATAATATCTGCACGGTAAATTCTCTCCAACTGCTCAATAGTTTGCAAGATAAAATTGACAATTTGGGCTCGTTTTGTATAATCGTTGACAATCGGTAACTACAAAAACGAGCCGCGAATATAATCGTATCTTCTCTTCTCAAATTGTCCATTTTGTTTTACAAGCTGAGGAGAAAGTGGAGAGAATTTACCGTGTTATTATCAGTTGCCAATTCCAATCAATAATTAACAATTAAGAAAGCAGTAGATTTTCCAACGACTAAATTTTACAGAGAAAGACTCCCACTGCGCAAGAATCAATTCAAATTTTATCAGGTCTCAAAAGACTTCTGTCCTTCAGGGCCAATAAAATTAGGGAATTCTCGATTAAATGGAGACGCGTCAGAAATTCATTCGAAGGATATATTTTTTCAAAATCATTCGATCTACTCCGTTATTGTTCAATTCTTTGGTGTGCCTGTATAGTGTTTTTGATTTTTCTCGGCTCGAACTGGTTATTCTTGCAGAAAAAAGTTAACTGCGCATGGAAATCGTGTAATTAGAGATTGTTGGTGTTTTAAATTAACTACCTGTTGATAACACTGTGTTTCCACGATGCAGAGCAAGCGCCATCTTGGACAGGTGCCCCGAACCTGCTAAAGGTTATTCCGAGGTCTCAGGTGAGTTACCAGCTACGGAACAGGTGAGGTACTGAAGAGACCTGCACGATTTCGAATTCTCAGCGCGGTCGGTGTTGTCGTCGATTTTAAAAAAAAATTCGCTTCCGACTTTCGTCGCTTCGATTTGTCGTCGCTTTCGTTTCTTCGACGAAGAAATTCGCAACGAAATTAAAAAGATATATATCGTTACAAATTCAAAATAAAAATCAAATATATCACGTTACTCTTATTTTGATTTAATCATCTATTTTCGAAAAATGCATTCATTCACCTTGGAATTATTCATTCGTTCGTCGAGCAAATTGTACGTTCAATTATTCTAGAACGAATGACGCAAAAACATGGTCTGCGACTGATCACGAGTCATGCATCATTGTAGGAAGTGTGGCATATCATCTGGCGCCTGGATCATCCGTTTTAATCTCCCTGAATTACAATCTGCGATCGTTGTTCAGCAAATTCTGAGAAGACGCGTTTATAAAAACACATATCATTATTTGCACGAGAAATTCCAGTTGCTCCGCAATGATCTAGAAACGCGATCGTCGCGAGAAGCGTCGCATGAGGTCGCGAAATAATGGGACAATCAGCGGAAAGCAAAAGATATCGTTCGTTACATAGATGCGTTTATTAACAAATGCGAGGGAGACAATAAATAATCGTGTCGCGTGAGCAAATAAATAGAACCAAGAATGACGAACAACAATACATTCGAGCCAGGCTCCGTACCAACTCTTCCGCTCGAGGTCAATCGAGCCAGTTGTCCTCCTCGATCGATCGATTACTGGTTAAATGCCCTCCGACGCGTACACGGGGTCGCAGAATGAAGCGTATAACGTCTCGAAGATCTCACCCTCTCGTCGGGACCTTCGATCGCGAGATCCCCGAAAAGCGAAAAAGAAAAACCAGATCTTCGATCTAGCGTTCTCGACGAGAGGATGAGACCTGGCTGGAACGTTCTCGCAGTCTTCGTTCGGTCGACCATCGACGATCGACGATCGTCTGTCGAGGATCAGTGGTTATTTGGCGTGCGTTTCTTTGGTCGTGTCCACGTGGGGCTCCGGCTCTGGATCGATCGTCGAAACGATCGATTGGTAGTTAAAGAGCTGGAGTTAATCGGGGGGCTGAGGAAGCTTCGTTCTCGATTTTAATAATTCGAGGAGCTGGCCGAGTTGCCGGACGACGAGGAGGACGACGAAGCCGAAGAGCTGTACGAGCCGGAGCTGCTGCCAGGTGCATAGTAAGAGTACGCTAGGTTCTGGGCATCCGCGCCGTTCGTCGGCGTCCACACGCGGGAGTAAGGCCCATTTCCGTCCCACGAGGCCGCCGGGTCGTAGCTCGACGTCGTCGTGCCCAATATTGGAGCTCCGTACTGCGGCGCCGGGTCCATCGACATTCCTGCGACAAGTTTCACTATTTTCACTTTCTTTTTCAAAGAGGAACGCCGTCGCGATCCTTCTGCCACGTTCGAATCTCCCGCCGTAGCGAGCGCAAACATGGCGCCTGACCGCGCGTTGAAGTCACCGGGCAATTAATTCGTTTCATAGGACTTTGCTGTGCCTGATTTACCACGATTATTAATGTAAACGTTCCGCGCGATTTTCGCTAGCTTCGTAGTCGTTAAAAGTTTACGTTTTACGCGGATTTTGTTTCAGGAGAATTCTATTCTTTGAGCGAGCTGGCTGGAACGACGCGGGTTGCTATTGCGATCTTAAAATGAATTTTGAAGATTTCGCTTTTGCAATATGCTACATAAAATTATGTTAATGATTTACATGATTTTCAGTCATGTTTAGATACTGAATATTCACGAAGAATCGAATCACGCGCTGAATCTAAAATCTTTATCAAGGAAAGTGACGGTCTGTTCGCACAAAAGCGCAACTGTCCATAAACTTTGACCTCCCCGCAGGAGAACTGAATAACGAAAAGCGGCGTTATTGTAATTAGACCGCGGATGTTTCTGCAGAACGACAATTTTTATCTTGCATCGACAGCGAGATAACTGTGCCAAGTATAATAATTCTTTTTCCGTCTTTAACAATTTTAATAAATGGAAATTAGCACACCGTATTCATGGTCGAGTCTCATTTGCAAGTCCGCCTTTAGCACGGTCTTAAGACGCCACTCGGAATCGGTTCCTGATATTTTCCGCGTGAGCAATCTAAAGGACCGTTCCCAAGGAGATTCTATTCAACTGATTAATGTTAATAAAGAAGGAAGAAAATTATACTTGACCCAACTGTCTTGCGATCGACGCAAGAAATGTTTAATAAGATCGTGCTTAAGACCGTCTTATAATCTTCCCACTGTGTTCAGTTTGATCCGTCCAGTTTCTCCCGTAAACGCGTGAAATCCGCGGTCTAATTATAATCGAGAGGCTAAGAACCGGCAGAGTACGTACCCATCGGCATCATCATCCCGCCCTTCTTGAAGAACTGCACAGCGATGAACCCGACCACGAGAAGAATCGCGAGCTTGGACAGCACGAGTGCCTTCATGGCCTTGATGCCGACGATGGCAACGAGTATGGGCATCAGAGCCTTCATCTTGAGCTTGAGCAGCAGAAGAATAGGGAGGAGCAGCTTCTTCTTCAGGATACCTCTGGCCTGGCTGGTGGCAACCTCGTTCCCTTTGAACTCGAGATCGAGATCTGCCAAGCTCCTGCTAGGTCTGTACTTCAAACTAGCGTCCACGAAGGGTATATCGATGCCATAATCGAAGCTCTTTAGGTACTTGAAGGTCCTCGCGACGATGGCCTCGTCGATGGTATCCAAAGATCTCGCCTCGGTACTAGTTCCAAGTTTCTCGTCGAGATATCCAAGCACTTCGTGTTTCAGACACGAGGTCCACGAGTCTGCGGCGATGCACTCGTTCAGGGACTTGGAGAGGAAGTCCTGGCTGGCCAGGGTGCTCCCCGCGATCAGGATGATTGCTACCGGTAGGAACGTCCTCATCTTTCCGGCTGGTTCTATTAATCCTTGAACCGGGCGGCTCCTCGTGAACGCAAACCGTACGATTGAAAAGATGAGAAACGATGATCGATCGTCCACCCGGGCGTGTGCGAGCGAGCGATCGGCGATCGAACTGCGACTGACGGAGGAGTGGCCCGCCCCTTTTATTTAATTTGCCCCCCGCGAATCTATGTTATTCGGTCGCGCATGCCGGGAATCGACGATCGAAGGAAAATTATTCAAATTTCACTGGCACATAGACCGGCGGCCACGCTCCTCTCCACCTTCCCTCTCGCAGCTCTCCTCCCCCCCTCCACCCTTCGCGTGCCTCGTGTCTGGGTACGTGCGTGCACGCGCCCGAAACCGTGTAGAAGCGTGTACGTACGCGGATCGATTGTCCGCGCGCGTACGTCGCGTACAACGTACACGATGGCATGCGAGAGACCACGGGAAACGGAACTCGCCCCGCACCAGAACAGACGTCTCTCTTTCTCTCTGCTCTTACTTGGCGTTCGTTCTAACGACGCCGCTAGGCCGCCTCGTGCTCTAGGCCGTCGGCTATAGCCATCTACGTACGCAACGTTTGGAGCACGGATAACCGTTCTCGTTGTACGGCCCAGCCGAACGGTATCGCGTATTTGGGGGGGCTCGGGATTCTTCCGACCACCGGGCAATTAATCTGAATTTCAATTTGCTGGACGTTGAATTTCGATTTGCTGGACGTTGAATTTTTGATTTGTTGGTCGCTGAAGTTTCATTTTGTTCGACGCGAAATTGAAATTTGTTGGATGCTGAATCTCTCGATTTGTTGGACGCTGAAGTTTCATTCGTTCGACGATGAATTTTATTTTGTTGGACGATGAAGTTTGGTTCGGTCGATGCTGAATTTTATTTTGCTGGACGCTGAATTTCAATTTGTTGGACGCCGATGTTTGATTCGGTCGACGCTGAATTTTATTTTGCTGGACGCTGAAGTTTGACTCGTTCGCTACGCTGAATTTTATTTTGTTCGACGCTGAAGTTTGTTTCGTTCGACGCCAAATTTTAATTTATTGGACGCTGGATTTTGATTCGGTCGACGCTGAATTTTATTTTTCTGAACGTTGAATTTCAATTTGCTGGACGCTGAATTTTGATTTGTTGGTCGCTGAATTTCATTTTGTTAGACAGTAAATTTTAATTTGTTGGATGCTGAATCTCGATTTGCTGGACGCTGAAATTTCATTCGTTCGACGATGAATTTTATTTTATTGGACGCTGAAGATTGGTTCGTTCGACGCTGAATTTTATTTTGCTGGACGCTGAATTTTAATTAGTTGGACGCTGAATTTTATTTTTTTGGACGCTATTCAGACTCATATTTTCAGACGTCGATTTTCGAATGCTTGCGGGCCAGTCCATGGGACTCTGGATGTCCCATGTCTCGATTGTCTTGATTCTGTCCTTTGTTCGTTCTTTTTTTCAAATTTTTCACAGCATTTTTATTTTACGAAGTCAGTGCAGCTCGATCTCGATAGACAGGTTCCAAAAAAATAGACCGGATGTTCTTGTATTGAATAATATTACATATTTTAATGTTTAAAGTATCTCGACAGAATAATATTTTTGCACGATTCGTAATACTTAAGTGCGAATTTGTAAGCATAGAATGAATTTTATCTAGATAGATATAATAGAAGGGACATTTTCGTAAACGCGTTTTTTCAATGTCAACTATAGGAATTAATTTTAAGGAAACAGTTGAATCCAGTAATCTGAAACATCGCATATCTATTTACTCATGTTTGAAGTACCAGCAAAATTTTTTACAAGATATTCCGTACAAAATTGTGGGAGTTATTAATAAATATACAGGACATGTGACGAAGTAGCTGTAAAACCAGGCGCATTGATTGGGCCCGTTTCCGTCATCTGAATGAGACAAACGTCGTGTCGTTTTATTTGTCATGAATCTGGTTACCGTGTGACCTACAATAGTCAAAGTCGAGAAACAATTGACAAAACGGAGATTTAAAAAGATACATTAAAAGGGTCAACAATAACTGAACTAATAAACTGTAACATGCAATGCCTATAAAATATTTAATTGTAACGTAAACGAAGGCAATAAAAATGAAAAAAATAAAACAATGAAAGCATTAGAAAAGGATGATCAAGCTATTTTTAAAGAATAATAATCGTGCATAGAAGGAATAAATTTGCACACAGCTCCGATTTCCTGCAACTGATGAAACTTTTTATTTTCGATAAAAATGTATAATGTGAATTAGAAATGGTTTTCGTCAGGCCGGTGCTTCCGCTTCGGCGAAAGAACGTCGTGTCTGTGATTCATAAAGAGCGCAACAAAAAGGAAAGTATTTATATTTAAAGAGGAAGCATAAACTGTTGTCCGCGGCGAAGACGAAACTGGATTCTCATTTCGCAAGAACATAGAACGACGAGACAAAGCAGCGCATACTTCCGGTCGGTGCGAAGAGGTCGGGGCTGATCATTATCGGGCATAATCTCCTCGCAGGAACGGACTGCTGATCCTTCTAGAAACTGGTAACAGACAACAATTTCACGGCTTGGGCTTCTTATTTATCAAGGGCGCGGATTGTGTCTATTACGGAAGAAGGTCCGAGAGGTTTCCTATCACCGTTTATCCAACTAACCGCTGGAATAGCTGGCTTAGTTAATGGGAAAGGTTGTGCTCATAGAATGTGGAATTACCGATAATCGACATCCGTTTCTGCTAATATACTCGGAAAAATCGCCAGAATAAGCAAACAAGTTTTCCTAAGTTATACTCTGATATTTATTTGACATGATTGTAAGGCTTCCGAGAAGCGGAACCATGTAACGTCAGTTAACACGTTCCGTGCCGAGCTTTTTTTACTCGAATCTTCACACTTTGATATGTTACTAAAACTTGATGTATTACGTGCAATATTATTAATTCTCGTACACATAACAACGTAACAAAAACTTATCAACGCCCATTCTTGCGGTGGAAATTGATTCTTCGGTTCTAAATTTCTTGTAAACAATTTGTTCAGTTCACTAAGTAAACATGCAAGCGTGTAACATCGATGGTACACGTGGCACGGAACNCTGAATCTCGATTTGCTGGACGCTGAAATTTCATTCGTTCGACGATGAATTTTATTTTATTGGACGCTGAAGATTGGTTCGTTCGACGCTGAATTTTATTTTGCTGGACGCTGAATTTTAATTAGTTGGACGCTGAATTTTATTTTTTTGGACGCTATTCAGACTCATATTTTCAGACGTCGATTTTCGAATGCTTGCGGGCCAGTCCATGGGACTCTGGATGTCCCATGTCTCGATTGTCTTGATTCTGTCCTTTGTTCGTTCTTTTTTTCAAATTTTTCACAGCATTTTTATTTTACGAAGTCAGTGCAGCTCGATCTCGATAGACAGGTTCCAAAAAAATAGACCGGATGTTCTTGTATTGAATAATATTACATATTTTAATGTTTAAAGTATCTCGACAGAATAATATTTTTGCACGATTCGTAATACTTAAGTGCGAATTTGTAAGCATAGAATGAATTTTATCTAGATAGATATAATAGAAGGGACATTTTCGTAAACGCGTTTTTTCAATGTCAACTATAGGAATTAATTTTAAGGAAACAGTTGAATCCAGTAATCTGAAACATCGCATATCTATTTACTCATGTTTGAAGTACCAGCAAAATTTTTTACAAGATATTCCGTACAAAATTGTGGGAGTTATTAATAAATATACAGGACATGTGACGAAGTAGCTGTAAAACCAGGCGCATTGATTGGGCCCGTTTCCGTCATCTGAATGAGACAAACGTCGTGTCGTTTTATTTGTCATGAATCTGGTTACCGTGTGACCTACAATAGTCAAAGTCGAGAAACAATTGACAAAACGGAGATTTAAAAAGATACATTAAAAGGGTCAACAATAACTGAACTAATAAACTGTAACATGCAATGCCTATAAAATATTTAATTGTAACGTAAACGAAGGCAATAAAAATGAAAAAAATAAAACAATGAAAGCATTAGAAAAGGATGATCAAGCTATTTTTAAAGAATAATAATCGTGCATAGAAGGAATAAATTTGCACACAGCTCCGATTTCCTGCAACTGATGAAACTTTTTATTTTCGATAAAAATGTATAATGTGAATTAGAAATGGTTTTCGTCAGGCCGGTGCTTCCGCTTCGGCGAAAGAACGTCGTGTCTGTGATTCATAAAGAGCGCAACAAAAAGGAAAGTATTTATATTTAAAGAGGAAGCATAAACTGTTGTCCGCGGCGAAGACGAAACTGGATTCTCATTTCGCAAGAACATAGAACGACGAGACAAAGCAGCGCATACTTCCGGTCGGTGCGAAGAGGTCGGGGCTGATCATTATCGGGCATAATCTCCTCGCAGGAACGGACTGCTGATCCTTCTAGAAACTGGTAACAGACAACAATTTCACGGCTTGGGCTTCTTATTTATCAAGGGCGCGGATTGTGTCTATTACGGAAGAAGGTCCGAGAGGTTTCCTATCACCGTTTATCCAACTAACCGCTGGAATAGCTGGCTTAGTTAATGGGAAAGGTTGTGCTCATAGAATGTGGAATTACCGATAATCGACATCCGTTTCTGCTAATATACTCGGAAAAATCGCCAGAATAAGCAAACAAGTTTTCCTAAGTTATACTCTGATATTTATTTGACATGATTGTAAGGCTTCCGAGAAGCGGAACCATGTAACGTCAGTTAACACGTTCCGTGCCGAGCTTTTTTTACTCGAATCTTCACACTTTGATATGTTACTAAAACTTGATGTATTACGTGCAATATTATTAATTCTCGTACACATAACAACGTAACAAAAACTTATCAACGCCCATTCTTGCGGTGGAAATTGATTCTTCGGTTCTAAATTTCTTGTAAACAATTTGTTCAGTTCACTAAGTAAACATGCAAGCGTGTAACATCGATGGTACACGTGGCACGGAACGAGTTAACCGGTTAGCTATAACGATCTCTCTGAAAAGTGCCTAAATTACTGTAATTGTACTGTGTACGTTCGATTTTCTACATATCTTGTTTGGATACGACACTTTCGTAAATTATATAATTCAATAAGGAGTATCTTTCTTAACCAGTCAGCTGTTTCAAACGAATTCACAGATTCGCAGCGTGCAATGATATGATCTTTTAACCTGTGAAACTTATTCGTCCATTTTTCAACAGATTTAAAGCTACCGATTCATAAAATAGTATGGAAGCAAATAATGTATAATCGTAAATAATGGTCGAAGAATTTTCTGCATTCGTGTTACAAACAAAATGATTCCAAGGTGCTAGTATACAGTCTTCATTAAAAGTTCAGCCTTCTTAACTGATGCAGATGTCCCAAAAATCATGAATGAGTTTAAACGATTACAGCTTTCCCTTCTACGTCACTGTGAAAAAGAAAACTTCTGTGAGCATTCCGAGCAGTTGCCGCTTCCAAGAGCTTTCTATCAATCATCTTTAATTTCCTCGCTTCGATTTCTACATAAAATGAAGCTACCCTACTTGACCCTCCGATTTCTCGGAAGAGGGAGAATGAAGAGACGGTGCGGCGAGACGACGACAGAGGTCGGGTTCAGATTGCAAAGAATAATTTATTAAATAAAGCGTACAGAGGAGAGTAGGAAGACAGGTATTTTACAAAAGTCGGCGCGAGGCTTGCGGAGCGTTTTACGACTGCGCGTGAGCGGAATACGCGAGTTCGTGCGCGTACTGCGACGTCGGCTGCTCGTCCTGGAAGGACCTGTACTGGGCCTGGTATTCCCAGGGCCCGTGGGCCGAGAGCGCGGCGCCATGGCCATCGGCCGCGATTTTCTTGCACAGCTGGAAGATCGCCATTCCGACGGAGACGATGAAACTGAAGAACGACAGTTGGAGGGCGTTCCAGGCCTTCAGACCGAGGACACCGATCGCGAGAGGGATGAGGGTCATGGCCTTGAGCAGGACGAACACCAGGATCGGGATCACCACCTTCTTCAGTTTGGACTTGCGAGCCTCTTCGACGGCGCGGCCTTGGCCGAATTTCACGTCGAAGCTCAGGTGGTCGTCGTCGATGTTCCTGGCGCTAACCTTCACCGAGGAGTCCATGGGCAGCTTGAAGGTCACGTCGTGGGAGGACAGGTAGCTCTGAACGCTGTCCAGGAAGGAGCCCTCGCTGCGGCCGGACACTTCTTCCACGGGGTACGAGTTGCGAGTCACTTCCACGGTCTCGGAAACCTGTGAACATGATTCCAGTCGATTTTGGGACTCGTTGTTCATCGGAGGAATGAGGATTCTGTGCATCCATGGCAGGAATGGGGAGATGTTGTTGAAAATAGCGGAGGGATTAAAAGAATTCATTTTTCTATTTGATGAACTGGGTCTGGGGTGATTCTAGGTTAGATATAGACGAGGATCAAACTACCGATGGAGTTGGATTATGTCTTTTGTTAGGCCTTGCTGCAGTCTAAGAACTAGATCTGCCTACCTCAGCTTTGTGCTAGGTCTAAGCTAAATTAATTCTAAGAGGCGTGTACGAGTCTTCGTTAATCTACGTTGATCTACGTCAATCGTGACATCAGACTTGCTGCATTGTGTCTGCTAAACCTCTAAGCTTAACCTTATATTGACTTTACACTAGGTTAATGTTAATTCCCATTTTGGCTTCGTCACCAATATAAGAAAGGGATTTATTTGCTATTTTTTACTTACTATAATCTACATATTTAAGCAAAAGAAATGTTGTCGTCTAGAACAGCTTTCTTCGAAACAGAAGATTTTGGCAGTGAATGTATTAATCAGCCGTCACAAAGTAGACTCCAGAATAAGATTAGAGTGTAAAAAAGTTGAAAGTGAAACTGTCACGAATCGGCCATCGAAGCCAGCGCAAGGGTTCCCATGGGGTCAGGGCGTTACCTTGAAGCTGTCTTTGCGGAACACCTGGTCGAGCATGTTGAGGACCTTGAACTTCATGCAGGAGACCTCGTCGTTCTTCTGGGCGCATTCGATCTTGGTCTGGTCGACCATCTGGTCCATGCTGCTGCCTTTCCAGAGATCGTTCTTGGCCGGCTGGGCGGCTGCCAGGGCGAACACGGCGCACAAAACGAAGAGCTTCATGGTTGCGGGACGTCGACTCGTGGTACCCTGAGGAAGTCTGGTTGGTTAGTTGTTCTCTAGCTCGAGGACGATTGCCTGGATACGACTGATGCCGATGGGTTGGGCTTCAGGCTATTTATACGGAGCCCCCATATCGTTCCGCGGTTCACCGAGCGTTCCGAACCCGAACGAGCCCGCCCCCACTTCCATCCGGCCACGAATTTTCTTTTCGTTCAGTATGGTGTTCGATTATCGAGGCCTCGACACGATCGTGACGGGAATGCGCAACAATGGCTCGGGGGATCAGCGAGCACGGCCGAACGAATGGTTTTCTGCGACGGCGGCACGCGATGCCGAACGATCCGGCTGCGGGTCATATGCAGAGACGCACGCGAAACGCGATCATCTTTCGATATTAATGAGCGACAGTTTGCTTTCTATCGGCACGACACCCATTTCCGCCCGTAACTCAACCGGCGAATTTATTTTCGTACCCGGACTCTTCGCGTTCCTCCGTTTCTTTGACGACCCCTCGATCGAATTTCCAGCGAGAGTTTCTTTGGAGATTCTCGGAACGATGCGCTGGAGCTTTTGGTATTCCTCAAGCTCTTATGAAATATACTTTGCAAATTATGGTCGATTTAGTGCTATTAATAACATTAAGTATTTTTCTTCTTAAGGGTAGACAGCGGATTCAAATTAGGCTACGTCGAGAGTGAACGGGTGAAGAATCATCTTGTTATCTTTCATGCAATTATTTCCGGATAGGTGACAGTTATAAAATTACTTTGTACATTCTAGCTCGATAAAGTAATCAACATTTTTCTTCTGGAATATTTTCAACGTTCGTCGGAGCCTTCAACTGAAAATTTTACAATTTCTATCGCATTAAAAAAGGAGTGTGTCCGATGCCTGTCATTCAAAGTTCGCGTGCTGCAGAAAAAAGGGAGTGAAAGTAAGTTTATTGATAAAAGTAAGATTGGTACGCCTGTAATTCTAATGGTCAAATGGAACAGCGTGCGCGAAACAGCACGTGTTCTTTAGGAATCCGACCGTTCCGAATTAGGGAAAGGGGGTTGGAGCTTTGATGCGTCTAGCCTGACATATTAAAATGCCCATTACACCATTGACCCCGATCACGGCCCCAATAAAACAATCACATCACGCAATCAGCTGGCCCGAAACTTTCAAATATTCGGCGGGCCATCTTACAGCATCGAAGACAGCGAAGCGGAAGTCGATCGCCGTCGACGGAGTAAGAGTAGACCCTTGATCCTTGGCACGGCTGGCACCGTAACATTGGCATTGGAATCTATCGTTCATTCACGCCACGAACACGACACTTTCCACACGTCTGCTCCGTTAATGCCTGCGCGCGTCCCCACCCCTTGCAAAATGGCACCCTCCTACGCGCGCTTCGAAAACATTTCTATCGGTCTTCGGGCTGATTCTCGAGTCGTTCACCGTTTTGTCCATTTTCGCGTAAAAGATTTCGTCTGTAAACTGCTGTTTATTTTCTCAATTATTGTCAAAATTTATAAATACATAAAATATATAAATTTATAATATATAAATATATACAATAAATATAATATATGAATGTTTAAATATATGCAATAAATATAATATATAATTATATAAAATATATAAAATATATAATTTAATTTGCAAAAATTTATAAAAATATTAAATAATTTAAAAATATTAAAAATATATTTATAAAATATTTTTATAATAATTTATATAATTATAAAATATATTTTGATGTATATAGCCGATTGGCGCGAGAATAAAATTTCTTGCTAGAAAAATTGGCCTCTCATTGCTATTGTTTCAGAAACTTATTAGAAACATATTATATTCAAAGTTTTCACATCTTTATCGCGACAATCAATAACATTCGTTTTCGTCGTCCCGATACAAAAAAATGTTTACATGTTTGCTATACGCACATTCTTAAAGCTAGCATCAATTAATGCTAGTTTAGTACACATATGTTGTAGCTGCTGATTACAGCGAAACTCATATTCTTGATCGCTGGTCTTCAAATGGATCCTTAGGCTACTTATCGCCAATTCGACGGAGTCTTAAAAAAAATCTCGCTGTTTCTCCAGTTCGAGAATCATAGGTTCTCATCAGGTCAATTACACGACAAGCCCACGCATGAGAATCATCGTTCGAAAGCGCGCGTTCTTCAAGCGCGACCACCAAAATCACAGGAGGGTGTCCTGCTGGAAAAATCAGTTCCCCGATGACCGTAGAGATCGACGAAGATCCACTTCCACCCTCGCCTAATCAATGTATTCCAGCTCTCGTCCACCGGTTTTCCTCGCGCCTTATCACCGATGCTCGTCGCGTGCGCGTTTCTCGTGCGAGAATGTCGCGGGGTTGCGAGGAGCGCGTTGGGTCCGCTCTGCCCGACTTCCTGCCATCCGTAACAATGAAGCAGAACGGTAATTGGAATTTCGGGTCGAGTTTGCATAAACATTCAGGCCGTGGTAAGCGTCGGCCGGTGTCGCCTCGACAAATAAAAAAAAAGAAAAACACGCTCCGCCCGCTCGAGCATTTTCCACGAGTCTACGAATTTCCCTCCCACGACCTGCATCCCGACGAATCCCATTACGCGCACGAAAGTCCGTTCCCGATTCCCGTCGCGTCAATGGCGAAGGAAATCGCGCGGCTTTCAACGAATTTCGTCGACATTTACCGGTTCGGGAGAACGATCGACCCCGTTCCCGCCCCCCGATTTCAAGCTCTCGGTCGGCCCGACGCGATTCTCGTCGCGTGCGCAAATAACCAAGAGGGAAAGTGACGCGCGTCCAGTTTTTCCAGGTGACAGAGACAAGGTTTCGTGAGACCAGGTAAGAAGTTTTATTATAAATAAGACAACGCGAAAATAAATATTAAATAGAGCGATCTAGGGGAGGACGGGGGGCGGCTGCTGCCTACTTCCTGTAGGCTCTGTAGGGTCCGTGGGGTGCCGTGTCCCAATGGGGAGCGTGCTCGACCGGCGGGTGGCCGTAGTGCACCACCTCGTAGGCGACTTTCGGCTTGGTCAGCTTGAAGATCATCATCGCCCCGCTGAGCACCATGGACAGCAGACCCAGGGTCAGGGCCTTCCAGGTCTTCAGGGCGATCAGAGCGAGCGCGAGCGGCACCAGAGCCGTGGCCTTGAACTTCAGACCCAGCAGGAACGGGATCATCACCTTCTTGACGAAACCGCGGCCTGCAAAGTCATCAAATCCGATAATTGATCCATCGATTCGCAACAACACCATTTTCGCGACATAATTCCGAGTTCCTTACCTTGGCCGTTCGAGGAGTCCGTCAACGGAATGGTCAAGCTTCTCGGCATGCTGTCCACCAGGGATCTAGGCACTATGTTAGAGCCCACGATGGCTTCGGGCAGCTTGGCCTCCAGGTGATGGCTCGACAGGTAAGCGTCCAGCTTCTCCAACATCATCGATCTCAGCAGCTCCCTCCTGGCCGGGTCCACGCTGTCGTACTGAGGGGGGTAGTACTCTTCGCTGTTCTCCTCGGGCATGTCACGGGACTTCACCACTGCCAGGTCATCCGTGATCGCGATCCTGTCCTGCTTCGCGGCGTTGCTGAGGTAGGCGAGCACCTTCGGCTTCACGCAGGACAACATCGACTCGTTGTCAATGCATCTGCAACAGAAACATTAATCTTTGTGCTTCGCCTCGGTCGTTGGAATCGAGCCATTCATGGAGAATCAAGGTTAAATTCATTCGTGGAGATTCGAGATTCATCGACGTATATGATTTTCGATTCAATTATTTACTCGTTTACGTAATAAAACTGTGTGCATCGATTAAAATTGTTTCATTCGGAATTCTAAGTCTTCAGATGCTAGTTGATTCAAATGTTCGATTCTAATCGATTCGAACTGCAAACTATTTGTCAAGCGAAATCAATTAAATCAATTAAATCAATTAAATCGATTAAATCGATTAAATCGATTAAATCAATTAAATCAATTAAATCAATTAAATCAATTGAACACAATTAGATGCAATGGCAGATCAAGCTTTCTAATTACTCTGAGATTGATTAGTCCTTTGAATGAAATTTTCCGAGGATCGACGTCCAACGTCTAATTGAAACAGCTGATTACCCCGAGTCTCACCTGTGATAAATGTTTCGAAGGGCTTCGGCCGTGGTCTCTGTGTTCTGCGCGGCCGCGATGCCGGCCAGAAGTGCTATGGACGCGACGACAGCAAGGAACTTCATGGCGGTACCGATCGATTTGCGAGGCTAAACACCGAATGCCGGCTCGAACGAAGCCAACCCGGTTTTATAGCCGATGGGAGTACACGTACGGCCGATGAATTTTGATCAGGGACGTGTGGCCGGCTGAAAGGAAAGAAGAAAGCCTCATTATCTAGGGTGCCGATGTTTTCTCGGCTCCGCGAGCCGACCCTGCGCGGACGATTTTGGTTTCGACGGCCGCGTCGCCCTCCCGTTTCCGGTTGGCTAGCGACCGATGACGTCTTCGATCGGTTTTCGCTGTCAGTCGGTCGTTCCTCCTCGACGAAGTCGGTCGGAGAACCCGATTTATCGAGCGACGCGCTCTCCGCCCGTACGAAAACACGGATCGCCGCGTGAAAATCGACGGTCGGGTGAAATTATTCGATCGTGAGAGGAGAATAGATGAAAGCGAGAATGGTCTATGAAAGGGGAATAATATGGTTGTGTCGTTAGAAACTCCGTAGAAAGTGATTCGGAATCGGAATCGAGCTTGCACAAGGTGTCCCCGGCGATATCTTGTGATTAGGAATGCCGGATGGGCGCCTTTGATCTCGCGGGAGAACGAGTTCTTTATGCGAACCGACGCGATTCCGCTGTCGATAAAATAGAGGCGCACTTTTATCCTCGACGGGCACGAGTCTTGGGACCGGAGTCGCGCTTAAATTCGCTGCAGCAATTTAGTGACGTGATCGAGTGCAGTCTTATGTAATAGTATTTTTAGACACAGTTTGTCTGGAATGGTAATTAATTTTTCACTGTTTCGTTCGATCATGCGGCGTCGCGGAAAGGGAAAGGCGCGACAGAAAGAGGCAGAAGATTTCTGCAGAATTTCGGTCATTGTTCTTTTACTGCGTGATATTTAATTAGAGTGCGAGACGATAACACAATCTTCGCTTTTTACGCAATTTATTGTATAATAAAAATGCAACGCGGCTTCGTGGTATTTCTGTCTCGACGTTTTATAATTTTGGAAACGGCAGTCGTTTCGTTGAACAATAAATGCGTTTTCTTCATTGATTTGTTTCTTTATCGTTTAATACGGCGTCGCAGACCGAGGATCGCGCGATGTTTAATAAAAATGTAGGCGTCGGATTTCACTTTTCACACAGTTTATTATGTACGAAACAATAATATACAATGAGACTTCGAGGTAGCGTATATCGAAGCATTTCTTTGTACAGTAAACTTACGTTACCAGGGTTACAACGTGAAATGTAACACACGAATAATGGGTATGGCACCCGAGAACGTATCAATAAATAATGGTTAGAAATAAATAAGTTCTTAGAGCTATAACGTTGCGAGACGCGATCATCCTCGCAGCCACTGATATCCAAAAATAAACGATATGCTCACACTCAAAACTGTACAATCGAAACTGTTACACTCAATCAACAGCTTACCAAAAAAAAAAGAAAAACAGGAAAACGAAAACACAAAAGACTGTATCACTTTCGTTACAAAACCGGGAGAACTTACTAGAAAAATCGACACTAGCCTAACGCAACGATAACACAGCACTAGACTAGCGTTCCAGTGATTTCTCTGACAAGGTGTCAATCGGCATTGACACTTCATCAGAGAACGCTTCTCGAGAACGAGTTTAAATCCACCGTGTCTTAACAATCGAACCTAGAACTAAGGGCTAACGTTTCAATAAATTAACCGGGCTCGATGGATTTCGAAAATGCCATCGTATCAAATCCACAATCCACCCATACCGAAATAAATTACGTTTACAATGATAACAATCGAAGCTAAATCGAAGAGAGAGATCCTATCCTTCTCATTCGATTTAATGTTCTATACAGTTCGAAAATGATCGAGTATAGCTCGCGAGGAACGCAAGGAACACTTCGTTCGCATTTACTAATTTCATTCGCAAAGTTTAGGATCGCTCGAAGTATCCCCGCATCGATTCCCATCGATCTAAACATATCGGAGAATAGTTCCTCGAACGAGAAGAATTAGTTTAAACATACGAATTTATAATCTACAATCGAGGGATCTTCTGTTAATCGACGCGTCGACTGCCAAGTCGCAACACTGGAAAATTCAACTACCACAAAGCAACGTAATCAAACCACAAACCGGAGAATTAACATTGTTCTCCGTAAAATCGATTTCTTTGTATGAAATTTGACGAAAGTATAGCGTTTCCCATTTGCGATAGGCACGGCAGTGAACGCGTCATTGTCCAGATTTGTTCGGGAAAGTGATCCTAAACTTGCGAAGCACGAACGAAGCGGCCATTATTATACGGGTAACACCGGTTTTGCACGTGGAATTACGCGAAATCCATCAGCAGATGGAATTTCCATTTGTCCGGTGGTTCCAGCAATAATTCTGGGCCGCTTAGACTGACAGCGCGCGATTATGTCTGCCGGAGATGGACCACTTAGGCTCGCCACTCGGCCCGGACGGGCGCCTGGTTTCTCCGTTTTTCCTCGTATTTTCCGCGCGATGACAAAAATCCTGGCCAGGTTTACTCGGTGTTTATGTGACACGGGAAGAGTCGCAGGCAATCGCCGCCGTCTTGACCCAATCTGGCGGCGTTCAAGTATCTGTGGAACTTCTGGCCGGACGAGCTTTCGATGCCCACAGCTTTTTTCAGCTCCTGCGGGTCTCTGGAAAAAAGAAAACGGCGGACACGTTAGCGGCCCTCTTGACACACTCCCACGAGTGGACGGATCGATAATCGTCCCAGAAAACCGCCTGACCCGATTCGTGGCTGTTTCGCCGGGCTGTCATATTAGTGTCACTTTCGCCATTTAGCGGGACGCTAATTGTCTGAAACATTCGTCTGCTTTTAATGGGGAACGGGGAGAGCGAGATCGCGTTGCATCCTGGCGGAACTAACGACAACACGCCGCCCGACGGCATGATCCGCGGATCGCGAGCATTGTTGACCGTGAACATTGTTGACCGTGAACACGACAGGAACAACGACTGGCCGGGTAAAAAGAGACAGGACCGCGTGAAACGCGACTCGACGTTCCGATTCGAACGATTCGGGGCGGCGGCCACCTTTCTCTTCGCGATCGACGGACGTGCCGATCGAAATTCGAGTCAGTTGCTCGATCTGTAATTGCTTCGATCGGTTCGCTAGATTACTGCGCGCTGAACGATCAAGAAATATTTTTAATATGCGGCGATTATAGTCAGATTTTTCTCACTTTCAGCATTGCTTCGCGAAGATCTCTAGGCTAATTAAAATTTGTTAAAATATTATTGAAAGATATTATATATCTTTTAATAATATTATTACATTTATATTGTATAATAATATATTAAATATATATTATATATATATTTAATAATATTATATATTAAAGGAATTATAAATTATAAATTATAAATTATAAATTATAAATTATAAATTGATTGTCCTCATTTAGTGGACCTTATAAACTTCAATATTAAACCGTGTCTCTTAAATAGAATTGATTACTATAAGACTGACCTTGGCATCTTTGACACTATTTCTAGAATTTCTAGTTACATTAATTCGGTAAGCTTCGATACTGAATTATCTTCTGGCTCTACCAATGTAGCCTAATCGAAGGTAACATTCTGTTGTGAACGAGTACTTCAATCGGGCCTTCGTTATTCTAGTTTTGTACCTTCGATTGTTATCTTTTTATCCATTTATATTGTACAATTATTATATTATTATATTATTATTATTATATTGTAAATAGGGCTCAATAGTCCGTAGAATAATCAATAAATAAATAATGCTGCTCTGCAATTGTCTCGTTCGATCGATGCAATTATCTCATGTTAATTTGTCGAGGAATGTTCTCGGCTCGATTTTTGTGTTCTCTTTTAGTCAAAAGCATGTAAGAAAAATTCATGTAAAAATTCTTTTCATTCATAAATAATATTTTAGATCGAATCTAGAAAGTTGCGGTTGCACGCAGTTCGTGCGCTTTATGCAAAATGCTTGCTACCGATTGTTCCAGGCTTCGGTACACGGTTTTCTCCAGATAGAAGGCAAATGAAGAAAACCTACGCGATCTTAGCAATTATCGTCAGAGGCTGGTGACTAACTTTCTGAACGGACATTTACTTCCCGTTAAGTAATCAACGCAACATGTTCCGCCAGCCATATGCAATTTCTTAATCGTGCGCTAGACGGTTGAATCTTTTCACCTACTTTTACCTATCTTTTTCTAAATTGTTAGCTGCACTGCAGTAAAGTTTCTTACACGGTAGCCGGCTTTTAAGTATCATTTATACGTGGAATACTTTTCGTCGACGACGAATGGATTGCGCGAGTCGCTTCCTCCGATTTATCTCACTCTTATCGATCGGGAAGATCGCGTCCTATATTGCCGAGTCACAATTAATGCACCTGTCGAATAGCTAAATAAAATATTAAAACAATTTTAATTACTTTAAAGCTTCTTAACTTCGCCGGAACCTCTACAACAGGGGTGTCAAACTCGCGGCCCGAGATGAACATTTTTGCGGCCCAGTCAATATATCCGACGCAAAGTAAACATAAAATAGAAATGTGAATTAGAAATTTTGAAAGTAGTCTCGGCCAATAAAATTTCTCCCGAAATAGGAAAGATAGTATCAGATGAGAGATGTCAAGTATCAGGACGCAAACAATAATTTAACTTTATATATGTTTATTACAATGTACTAGTCAAAATAAAAATATTTGTTTCTATGAACATTGATTTTTTATTGCGGCCCACCTAAAGTTGAGCATTGTTTATTTGGCCCAAGTTAGCTTTTGAGTTTGACACCCCTGCTCTACAACGCGTCACTTCGAATTTAACCTTCTCTACTTTATCCTCTTAATTNCCGCCTGACCCGATTCGTGGCTGTTTCGCCGGGCTGTCATATTAGTGTCACTTTCGCCATTTAGCGGGACGCTAATTGTCTGAAACATTCGTCTGCTTTTAATGGGGAACGGGGAGAGCGAGATCGCGTTGCATCCTGGCGGAACTAACGACAACACGCCGCCCGACGGCATGATCCGCGGATCGCGAGCATTGTTGACCGTGAACATTGTTGACCGTGAACACGACAGGAACAACGACTGGCCGGGTAAAAAGAGACAGGACCGCGTGAAACGCGACTCGACGTTCCGATTCGAACGATTCGGGGCGGCGGCCACCTTTCTCTTCGCGATCGACGGACGTGCCGATCGAAATTCGAGTCAGTTGCTCGATCTGTAATTGCTTCGATCGGTTCGCTAGATTACTGCGCGCTGAACGATCAAGAAATATTTTTAATATGCGGCGATTATAGTCAGATTTTTCTCACTTTCAGCATTGCTTCGCGAAGATCTCTAGGCTAATTAAAATTTGTTAAAATATTATTGAAAGATATTATATATCTTTTAATAATATTATTACATTTATATTGTATAATAATATATTAAATATATATTATATATATATTTAATAATATTATATATTAAAGGAATTATAAATTATAAATTATAAATTATAAATTATAAATTATAAATTGATTGTCCTCATTTAGTGGACCTTATAAACTTCAATATTAAACCGTGTCTCTTAAATAGAATTGATTACTATAAGACTGACCTTGGCATCTTTGACACTATTTCTAGAATTTCTAGTTACATTAATTCGGTAAGCTTCGATACTGAATTATCTTCTGGCTCTACCAATGTAGCCTAATCGAAGGTAACATTCTGTTGTGAACGAGTACTTCAATCGGGCCTTCGTTATTCTAGTTTTGTACCTTCGATTGTTATCTTTTTATCCATTTATATTGTACAATTATTATATTATTATATTATTATTATTATATTGTAAATAGGGCTCAATAGTCCGTAGAATAATCAATAAATAAATAATGCTGCTCTGCAATTGTCTCGTTCGATCGATGCAATTATCTCATGTTAATTTGTCGAGGAATGTTCTCGGCTCGATTTTTGTGTTCTCTTTTAGTCAAAAGCATGTAAGAAAAATTCATGTAAAAATTCTTTTCATTCATAAATAATATTTTAGATCGAATCTAGAAAGTTGCGGTTGCACGCAGTTCGTGCGCTTTATGCAAAATGCTTGCTACCGATTGTTCCAGGCTTCGGTACACGGTTTTCTCCAGATAGAAGGCAAATGAAGAAAACCTACGCGATCTTAGCAATTATCGTCAGAGGCTGGTGACTAACTTTCTGAACGGACATTTACTTCCCGTTAAGTAATCAACGCAACATGTTCCGCCAGCCATATGCAATTTCTTAATCGTGCGCTAGACGGTTGAATCTTTTCACCTACTTTTACCTATCTTTTTCTAAATTGTTAGCTGCACTGCAGTAAAGTTTCTTACACGGTAGCCGGCTTTTAAGTATCATTTATACGTGGAATACTTTTCGTCGACGACGAATGGATTGCGCGAGTCGCTTCCTCCGATTTATCTCACTCTTATCGATCGGGAAGATCGCGTCCTATATTGCCGAGTCACAATTAATGCACCTGTCGAATAGCTAAATAAAATATTAAAACAATTTTAATTACTTTAAAGCTTCTTAACTTCGCCGGAACCTCTACAACAGGGGTGTCAAACTCGCGGCCCGAGATGAACATTTTTGCGGCCCAGTCAATATATCCGACGCAAAGTAAACATAAAATAGAAATGTGAATTAGAAATTTTGAAAGTAGTCTCGGCCAATAAAATTTCTCCCGAAATAGGAAAGATAGTATCAGATGAGAGATGTCAAGTATCAGGACGCAAACAATAATTTAACTTTATATATGTTTATTACAATGTACTAGTCAAAATAAAAATATTTGTTTCTATGAACATTGATTTTTTATTGCGGCCCACCTAAAGTTGAGCATTGTTTATTTGGCCCAAGTTAGCTTTTGAGTTTGACACCCCTGCTCTACAACGCGTCACTTCGAATTTAACCTTCTCTACTTTATCCTCTTAATTAATCCCCGCGCGTTTTCGCGTATATGACAAAAACGTGTCCGGAAACGCAACGCATCTAGCAATCAATGCACAACGATCTGCGCGAAGATCTGCGATCCGGCAGCAGCAATCGCCATCGGAAACACGCGGCTCACCGAAACCATGACGGATATTCGAACCAACAGCGCCGAGAGCGTCGAGAGCACATTCATAAATCAGAGCATAAAAATGTGGCGCACGGTCCGCCCCCGTTCTCGAAAAACCACGCAGGCTGTCCGACCAACAGTGTCACCCAATTCCGCCGGTCATAAATAATCTGCGGCGTCGTCTCGCCCGCGATTAACCCACTAATCGCGCGTTCCTTACCTGGAGAGTTCGTTCGACACGAGATTGCTGTGCGGCGAGTAGACGGCCGGGTTCTTGTACATGCTGCAGACGAGCCTCTCCCTGCAGGTTTCCTCGAAGAATCTCAGCTGCTTGAAGATCTCCTCGAGCCTGTTCACTATCGGCCCGTAGAACTCGTCTTGCCGCTGTTGGCCAACCGTTGGTTTCGCTTCCAGCTGGCCGCTGCTCTTCGCGGAAATCTGTCTTGTGTTCTGCCCGAAAACACCGTAAGAGCTTTTCACGGTGTTGGCAACCGGCAGAGCTGCCGCCGCGAGGCTGTTCGGGTTCACAGGGTTCACAGGAACGCCGACGACCAGATTATTGTTGCCGATGCCAGGACTCGCGGGTTGTTGGACCAATTGTCGGCGGCTGTTGTCCACGTAGGCCGAGTAGGCCAGGTTGTGCGCCGACACGGGACGCTTATCGACGAAGGTGGGCGTTAACTGTGGAGGATTTGCAGCGTATTGCGGGCCACCATAGGCTGCGGCATAGGCCGGGCCCGGGTAGGGTGCTGGGAGCACCCCGGGAGCTCTAATCGGGACTCCAGCGGCGCCCATAGGCTCTTCTGGCTCCTCGTAGGGCTCTATCCCCCATTCCTTCAGCTCCTCCACGTCCTTCCGGTATTGTATGTGCGGGTGAGCGTAGTCGAAGGTGTCCAGGTCATCGTCGTGATGGTGATGATGGTGGCCGTAGTAGGCTGGCACTGGCACCGGGACCGGGACGTGGTGATGATGGTGCGCGATCTGAAACGGCGAGTAAATTGTGTCAGAAAATAAATAAATGGATAAAACGGTGCATGGGTTTTAGAGTAGCTCACCTGGTGATGATGATGATGGAACTTGGTGGGCGAGGAGTAGTAGCTCGAGCACAGCTTGAACACGTGCGCGAACGCAGGTATGAAGAACAACAGTAGCTTGAGGAACAGTTTCTTGGCGGTGCCGACTCCGAACAGGAACGGTATGATGAACATGAATTTCAGTTTGATCAGCTTGATGATCAACAACAGCGCGAGGAAGCTGGTCAGCAGCTTATTCTGTATGAACTTCCCTGGAAGAGCAAACGAATCAGCGTCACCTTAAAGATCTCAGCTCCTCTATCTCCACCGTACTCACTTAGTTTCTTGAAGATCCTCCCTTCGCTCTGCAAGGCCCGCTGCCCGAAATCGACCCTGATCAAGGCCCCGCTCTCGTCCACCTCTTTCGGGCTAATTTTCACAGCAGCGCCTTCGAAGAAGAACTCCGGCAACTGGATCTCGTAATCCCGAGTCGCCAGGAACTTCACCGCTTTCTTCCCGATAGCTCCGGTCACCTCCTCCAACGGGGTCTTCTGCTTCTCCCCCATCCCCCTTCCCTGCTCCTCACTTTCCCCTTCGTCGCAATCGTTGCTCTCCTCGACCAGGTTGTCGTCCAAAGAGTCCCCCCTGCGACAGGAACCGTAATCCAAGCTGTTCTTCCTCATGGTCAGACCGTCGAACACGGTGATATTGTCCCGGTCGGCGAACGCGTTGTCCAGATATGTGTACGCGTTCCTCTGGATGCAGGAGAACGTGACCGACTGGTCGCAGTCCCTGAACAGCCCGTCCCAGAGCTCGTTGCCGGTCTGGTTCCTCAGCATCCCGTCCACGTGGAAGATCTTCGCGTACGATCTCAGGTTCTTGAAGCTGAAGAAGCTCGTGCCGGCGTTCACCGTGCAGACGCACAACAGAAGCAACGACACTGTCATCGACCGCATCTCGAGGATCGACGGGAAGGAAATTAGGTTTCTCGAAGGTGGAACCGAACGAACGACGAATTTCTCGATGATGTGTACCAGTTGTCAACACTGTGTGCTACACGGCCGAGGATTGACACCGAACCACGTGGATCTAGCAGCACTTCCGTCGCCCCTCCAGATCTGACCTCGAACGCTCGATAATATGGGACGCTGACCGGCCGTCCGGTGTTAGGGCACCAATGCTTCGATTAGGCTGGTCCTCAGACTGTCCCGAAACCTCGCACACTCCCGAACCGATCCGATCGACATGTCCGCGTGTCACGTCCTCCTCATCCGGCTCCTCCGATCTTCGTTCTGTCTCCCTTTCTCTGTCTCTCTTTCCCTGTTTCTCTCTCTCTCTTTTCCTCTTTCTCTGTCTCTCTCTCTTTCTTGCTCTCACGAGACGCGCTCCGCTCGATCTCCCGCTCAAAACTAACCAACGAGCTTCTCCGTCTGCCGGCTACAATTCACCTGAGCGTCAAGTGTGTCAAAGGCCCTCCTACTCCGTCCGCGGCCACTCCGTGGAAGGTCATTATCGTCTCCTCTCCGGCTGCAACCAGCCCGGCTCGGCGCCGATTCCGCTCCGCGACCGGCTGCTACACGCGCGACGACTGGAGGCGTTTCCCAGCGGAGATTTCGGAATTTGTATGCACCGAGCCCCGGCGTTTTGGTAGTCCCCTTGGCCGTCGGCCAGGTGAAAGCGGACGGAAACGTGCCGGAGCGGTTCGACGCGAGGAGGACTTATGGTTGACGCCGATCCGCTCCGGCCGGCCTCGCGCGCCGGCTCGTTTTTATGTAGAATACGAGTGGATGCTGATGCGAAAAACACGCCCGCGATAGCAAATCTTCGATCGAATTGGGAAAATGATCGTTGACCGAATATTCAGCTACGGTACCCTTTTTTATAGCAATAACCTTTCGCAACATTTTCAGCAATTTCTGAAACTTCGATCAAATTATGTCAGAAAATCGAAAAACGCGTGAACTTGTGTGCCGGTTATTTTACTTTGTAAACGTGCAAAGCGACGCCCACCGGCAAAAGGAGCTCGCAGTTATCGTTGGATAGAGTTTATGTTCCAGGAACGATGCTCGCAGTCGCGTATATTCCTTGCGAAGTTGGAGGTTATTAATTTTTATTGACTGCAAGTGTTTACGGCGAGACGTAATGATAGAGGAGCCGCAGAGCTATGCTTAATTCTATTTTTCCACGAATAGATCTGCGGTAATGCGAATCTGCATAAACGTCTATGGCGGGAGCATAATTATTATATTCACGTTGCGTTATGATAGGGCTGCACAGGTAGTTCCTTTTTAATTATAGATTCTCTTGCGGGACGTATATATATATAAACATTAATAGTGCTAAAGATCGCGCTAATAATATAGCATAAACAAAGAGCAGGAATGTGTAAAAGGAGAAACGAAAGGGGGGATGGACCTAAATGCAAATTGAACGTTTTGGACGGCGGATCGGGATATCGCTTGTCAGGCATGGAAGTCTCCGGCGGTCTGTATCTGCCGATGCGCATTTACAATTTTATTACCATGGAATTATTTATGAAATTCGACTCTGATATTTTCCTGGCGTAGCACACAATTTATACTAATTCTGAAGCATGAAGTAATGGGATTTCGTTGGTCAGAGAGTTTATTACAGCGAGAAATATATTTTTTTAAAAAAGAGCAATTGCGTATTCCTGTGTCAACTTCATCGATAAAACTTCATAAAATGAGAAATAAAAATAACAAGAATATTTAACAAACAAAAATATTTATCCGCTCTATGAACATTTATACACTTTCCAAATATTTATTTTCGTTTATGTTCACAAGAGTGTTATTAAAGATAATAACATAAGAGTGTTATTAAAATTAGAATTATTTGAAGTTAATGTTTTTTTCGTAAAAGTATACATGTTTCGATAGAGGAAATGTATTTGTACAATCTCGGAAATGTTTCTTTTCAAGATAAATGTCTAATATCACAATTAACAGCGCAACGCGGCAGAATAAGCAGTCCGCAGCGCGCGCAAAATCATTTCCAATCGTCCGACAAGATTAACACCATATAAGTCTGTTTATATCCCATCAGACCGGTCTGCTACGATCTAGCAAGTGATCCAGTTAGGCCGCCGATCGATTACCAACGGCGTAACACCAGCAAATCGCCGCGAGACTACGCGGAAACAGGTCGCCGCCATCGACTTTCGACGATTTCCGAATCCGCCGGAACAAAAAAATGTGGAACGCGAGAGTGAAATTCGGAGCGATCGTAGGAAAACAAGACGATCGCGAGGAATACCGCCCCGTGGAATATTAAGTAACGTTATCCAGCCATAAGTTTCCGTATCGAGGTTAATTGTCGCGAAGCCTGTCGCGAAATCAGAAATCCGCGGATTTTTAGAGAATCAAATTGCTCCTATGTAGAGCACCTAAGACTCGGGCGACTCTAATCTCACGTTCAATTGCGACACCCATTACGTTATTAGGCGAGTTCTGTGACAATTATGCCACGGTCTTCATTGTAATATTGGTCTGCGAGATAAAATACTTCGAATTTTGCGTGCGTTACATTACCGCGAGAATTTCTTTAATATTATTAATTGCATAGGTGTTAGTAAGCAAAACAATCATTTTATAAATAATGGTAAGCTTGCCAAAATAGTTCAAAAAATAGTGCAACGCATAGTTAAACAGACTCCAATAACATTTGTATTTATTCTCAAGCCATAAAGACCGTTATAAGTCACTTAACGATAATTAAAAATTGCAAAACTACTCACAGTCTAATTGTACACAGATAATTTTATTGTTTATCATATTTGTTTCAAAATTATTCTAAAATAAATCTCGAACGCGTTTAGATTCAATTTCCGCGTCCAGATATATTTTTAATCGTTCTCCAATTAGGATGGAATTCTTCTCATCTCACTAGAACGAGCATCGTCCTACTTATCTACCAGACAATCCGCATAGATTATTACCCGCTTAATGAGCAAATGTCATCCTCCAGCAACATAACATTATCCACCACTTTCCTGTTACACGGCGTGTCGCGTAAGTGTCATCATTTGATCGGAGAACGAGGACCGTGACGAGCACCGCTCGATCAGAACGAATCGATGCATAATATCGATCCAATTCCATAATGTAACCCGTCCGTTCCCACGCGGACCGATCCTGCTTCGTCTATCTTTTTTCCCCAGGAAAAGCGGAAGTTGTTGCCATAAGCGTCGCTCTGCCACGAATTCTCGTACATCGTCGCCTCGAGGTTTTCACTAATAGATCCCCGGTGAAGGTGTTCCCATTAGCCGGCCAGCCGCATGCGTTATGTCGGTATAGGCAACCTACATTCGCCCGGAACGAATGATAACAGCTTATCCGCGTTCCCTGGTCTTCGGAATCATCGTGGAGAAATGATCTCAGGCGTCGCGTCGTCTCGTAATGAGATGATTCAGCCCTGGGGCTCCCCGCTTCCGTTTCGGCTATCGCTCCAGGACCTTGTCGATCGGTGCATCGTTGCAGGAAATGTTTTCCGAACAAATTAGAACTGCGGACAATCCTGCGTTCTATAACTGCGCCAGATTTACAGTTATTACTGAGTATATGAATATGAATTAAATAAAAGGACGCATTGTTTGTAACGTTTAACAGGGTAAAAATGAAACGTATCAGTGGACGTTGACAACAGCGATGTATAATTGTCACTGATCGTACGTTTTTAGCGAAAGGAACAAGTTCAGGAGCAAAGAAGGACTAAAATTCATTTCGGTTTTTAATAAGGTCCTCGATGTGTAAATTAATAATTGTATGTAACATTGAATAGTTAAACGAGGGGGGCTGCTTTGTCCCAGAACATAAAAAATCGTCACTCAATTTAATAGTAATAGTAATAATAACAATTTAATTTATTCATGTATGCAATGAAGATAAAAATAAGTATAAAAATATATATGTACATAATGATACAATGC